CTTGGCTCCAATGAGCCCCTCAGTCCCGGGCCAGCCCCTCGTGGACCCGGTCCCAGCGAGCCCAGCCTTCCTGCTCTAGCAGCTCAAGTAGGAAAGGAGGCAGAAGGGCCAGGGGCCTGCCCGCCCGCCCTTCCCTTCCCTCTTCAGCCAGTGCCAGAGAAGGACAGACAACTTCTCTGTCGTGTGGGATCAGGTTCAGAAGGGCAGTGTCTTTGATGTCTTTGGCTTCTGTTCCCTAAGCTGGGAGTGCGTGACCCCAGGCACTGTTTAGCTGTGGGGGGATTTAACTGCTCTCCATCTCACCATCTCACTATGACTGCAGGCGCAAGGCTTTGAAGATGAAAGTGTGAAGAGGGATGAATTATTTAAGGAGATGCATTTGAACTTGAGGCAAACAAACCTGGGCTAAAGACTGGGAGGTCTGCAGTGCCCACTCCAGGCAAACCTCAGACATACGGCAGGTTCCGACTCAGCGCAATAAAGCGAATATCGCAATGAAGCGAGTCGCATGCTTTTTTTGGCTTCCCAGTGCATGTGAAAGTTATGTTTTCACGTCACTGTAGTCCATGAAGTGTGCAATAGCATGACAGGAAAAAGCTTGAACTACTTTGAGATTTACTAAAATGTGACCCAGACGTGGAGTGAGCATATGCTGTTGGAAGAATGGCACTGACACGTTGCTTGACACAGGGTTGCCACAGACCTGCAATTTGTACAAAGTGTGATATCTGTGAAGCCCGATAAATGAAGCGCAGTGAAGCGAGGTATGCCTGTGTTGGCAGCACGTTGTCCGTGTTTGACAGAGATGAGTAGGAGCTGTCCTCTGCACAACACATTACAATTTACAGCCAGCCAGGATGTGTTTCAGTCTCATTGGATTAGGTAGATCTGTGCTATGGGGATAAGGCCCAGAGAGGTTGAGTGCCTGGCCCAAGGTCACACATCCTAAAGAGACTAGAGCAGGAATTTGAGCCCATATCTCTCTGACTTTCAAGGCTGGAGTTCCACTGCAGCCAGTCCAGTGGAATGTGGCAGTCATTCCTCCAGAAAACATTCTGATGAGGCTCTCTGTGTTGCTGGCTTCTCTGATTCAGAATGTATTGATTTGAGGTGGAGAAACAGACATTTGCAAATATATTAAGAGAGAAAAATAAGTGCCCTGTTGTCAACAGGGACGTTTAAGCGATCAGAAATTACCCAGGAGATTCACTATTGCTTTAGGTAGGACATGGGCTGTTAGTTCTAGAATCGATTGGATTACGGCAGCTCTGTTACAGGGCAAGTTAATGGGCTCCTGCAGTCTGACTCTGGTCCCTATGTGGGGAGGAGCCAAATTTCCACCTGAGCACAGTATCATCAAGTCGGATTATCTTCCCAGATTGACGTTATTCTGTGCCTGCGGTAGAGGTCATTTATTCAGGGTGAAGTAGTATGTCGCTTAGTAGGGTCGGATTTGAGTGGTGGCTGAGCTCTCTGTATTTGGGCAGGGCCACATAGAAGTCCACACAGAAGCAGTGTCTTCTGAGCCAGTGAACTTAGGCAGACATAGTATTTGGGAGAGGGACCCAAGGAAAGGAGTCAAGGAAGACCCTTGAACAGCTCAAATAGGAATAGATTTGATGCATTAACACCAACAACTGAAAACTAGAAACCACTTGAGACCTTGATATATACCCTTTCATTTTATTTTTCCTTTGCTTTCTTCATTTTAACATAGCATGACCACTTGACACACTGTCCATTGTGTTTTGAGTGCCCTGGACATACACTGCTGGAAGCTCCAGCCACAACTTGGAAGAATCAAGAAAAAGTTGACATCACAGCTGGACGTGATGCCCCAAAGTGCCTTCAGCCTCCTGGGCGCTCTGACCAAAGCAGGACAAGGCCTGCCTGGCCGGCTTACTCCCTGGGCCCTGTTGTGGGGCCTCAGGGCTAGAGCTCTGGGTAGGGTCACCCATCCCTCAGGGATGTCTTTTGGAAACACACCTCCCCTAGGGGGCTGTTGGGTTGACAGCTTGGTATCTGAATTGAGGTTTCCAGAAGATGCTGTCTTAGAAGAGATGGGGTCTAGAAAGGCTTGTCTGAGCAGGAGACATGAGCTGAGATGGGCATGCATGTGTGTGTGCATGTGTGCTCATGTGTACATGTGTGTACACATGTGCATACACACATGTATGTAGGTACACGGGCATATATGTACATGTGTATGCACATGTGCATGCATGTGTGTGTTTTAAGGCCTTGAGACTAGCTACCAGTCAGGACTGGGATCCCAGAGGCCTGATTTCTCGTGTCCACACAGCTCCCTGATGACTCTGGAGTCCTGGTTTCTCTTACCTGGGCTTCAGTCTCCCTGTCTGTGCAATGGACTTTACCTAGAGGAGCTGTGAGCGCCTGCCTTACAGGACCTTCTGGGAGGCTGTGATTGCCATTCCTTATCCCACAAATGGCAGCACCTCTTGAGTGGAGAAGGAGTTTGTCACAAACCAGATTAGCTGCATGGGAATGGAAGCAATAGGGAGCGGCAGGGATTGCGGTGAAGTGAAGAGAGTGAGTCCCAGTTGAAGGGGGCCGTGTAGGCAAGCATACCTGTGCTCCATGTGGTCAGTTACATCCAGGTCATTCTGTTTGTTCAAAATACGCTGAAGATAGGGATTTAATACGAAACTCTGTGATTTTTAAAATGTTGACAAATAATTAACAAAAATCTAAATACCATATAGTGCAAACAAAATGTGTCTGAGGGCTGGATTCAGATCTAGACGTATTTGGGGCCAGCCACAGCTCCAGGCCAGACACAAGTCGCAGACACGATCACCCTGAGGACTGGGTGATCCTTCAGCATTATTTGATTTTACTTGAACACGAACACCCTCATTATGGGCCTGGCAGCACCAGAGAGCAGACAGAAAAGGTCCCTGCTCTGGAAATGGTTCATCTGTTTGTACTTCTGGGCTCCATGTGGTCAGTTACGTCATCTCACAGGCCTGCTCTCCCAGGAGAGGACTCAGGGGTCAGAAAGGACTGGTGTCCCAGATTGTCCTCAGAACTGGCCTACATCTGAGCTTCCACCAGCATGCCCTCTCTCCTGAGCTGGAGGCTTCGACCTCCTTGTCCCACACAGAGTGATGCCTCACTTTGTTGTCAGACATTGTTTCTTAGTGTGGATGGGTTTCAGAGTCCTTTTGGGGTGCTTTCGTAGGGCTCATGCTAAGGGGAAGGGGGTGAGGATGTCTGTGGGACATGAAGAAGCCCTTGAGAGGAAGCAGTATGGTCATTCTGTCCCTTGCCCCCAGCAAGCACTCCAGAGCTGCACTGCCCAACATGCGAGGAAGACTGCAGCCCCTCTGTCACCAGCCCCACTCGGGCGCTCGGTCCTCACATGTGGCTATCAGATTGGGCGGCGCAGGGCTGGAGCACCCTGCCGCTGTCGAAAATTCTATGGCAGGGCCACGACTCTGTCTCATTTTGGTGTTGGAGGCTCCAGTATTGGCCCAGTGTACAGGTGAGAAAATGAGGACCTGGAGGGCATGGTGGCGTGATCTGAGTCCTGTAGCCTGTGGGTGGCACGAGAGCATTGCTAGGAAAGCAGAGTCTTGGACTGTCCCAGGCTGCACGTCTCTTCCTCACGCAAGTGCATGCAGAACTTAAGGTCGGATGGGTAGGAAGGGGAGCTGGTGACAAAGGTCGCCAGCCCCACAGCATTTCCAGGCGTGCATTCTCTTCAGGATGGATAGCCTGTGAGCTTAAATCCTGGGCTCCCTGGGAGCTCTGCTGGCATAGTGCCTAAGGCACTTGACTGCTAACCAGAAGGCTGGTGTTTCAAACCCACCAGCCACTTCTCCGAAGGAAGGTGGGGCAATCTACTTCCATAGTGATACTGCCTCAGAAACCCAAGGAGGGTCGCTGTGAGTCGGGTGTGACTCGACGGCACATAACAACAACAACAACAACAGTGTTTGGCTAAGTGTAATGGGCCAGACATTACTAGCATTCGATTGCCCTCGTGTCCTAGAGGCTCTGAAAGCCTTTGGTTGTAATCACCTTCTGACTGTGTAGCAGGCCCAAGAGATTCTGTGACCTTGTGTAGTCATTCCCTTCTTCCATGGTAATAGAATGTCAGCTGGGCATATGGCCACCCAGAATTAAGACTACATTTCCCAGCCTCCTGTGCAGCTAGGTATGGCCATGTGACTGAGTCCTAGCCAATAGAATGTCAGTGGAGCACTGACATGCTGGCCTCTGGGGACCTTCTTAAAGAGATGCTGGTAGGCATGTGCCCCTCCCTATCACTTGAACCTCAAGGACAAGGTCAGACTTTAGGGCTGGAGGAGTGGTCATCACCCAGCCCTGAACTGCGAACATTTGACCTTTGATATACAAGTGAAACAAATTACTCTGCAGTGTCAATCATTGTTCTTTGGGTCCCTGTTACTTGCAGCCAAACCCAGTCCTGATGATGAACCAGGTAAAGAGTGACTAGTTCTGTGTCAGGTCCTTGCCAGGAGTATAGTAGACCTCAAAACAGCCCTTGTATAGTGGCACTTCTCCCACAGGGACATTTGGCAATGTCGGGGGACATTTTTAGTTGTCCTTGTGGTGCTGATATCTAGTGAATAGATGCCACAGGGATGCTACTAACCCTCCCACAATGCATAGGGCAGCCCCCAACACAGAAGGTGACCCGGCCCCCAGCGTCAAAGTGCTGAGGCTAAGAAACACTGCCACAAAGGGTTCACAATCCTTACAGTCTTCACTCTCCCTCTCCCTTTTTTATTTTTTCAAGTAAGAAAATTGAAGCCAGAGACTTTGAGTGGTGTCTGTGATGACACAGCATGGAATGTCAGAGTTGGGATTCCAGCCCAGGTGTCTGCATCTCTGGGTGAGGACGTATGTGGACCATGAAGAGCAAGACCTGGTCCCCACAAGGACCTTCCAGATCCCAGCCTCATCTCGAGAGTCCACAAGCCTCTGCATGAGTATCTCGTTCTGCCACTCACCAGATGGGTGACCTTGTGCTGGCCACTTCCCTGGTGGTGCCTCTGTTTCTTGTGCTCTGTGAGTGAGGTGAGAAAGCGCACGTACCCATTGAGATACAGGTGAGCCATTTTGCTCAAAGGCCCCAACACACTGCCTTGTGGCACAGGCGTTGACCTGCTGGGGTCCAGCCACCGCTGCCCAGGATTAGCCCTCTCTTGTTGGACCACGGGGAATCCGAGGAGAGGAACCATGAAGGCTAAGACCCGGGGGAACTTTGGCACCTACAGGGAGATGACTAATGGAAGTATTTCAACACATCAACAGCCTGGGCCGCCATCAGCTGCACATCAGCTCGAGGAGTTGTTACCAGCCACTGAGTCAGCCCCAGCTCATGGTGACCCAGTGCACAACGGAATGAACCACTGCTCGGTCCCACGTGTCCCCGTGGTTGGTCCCGCGCCATCCCTGTGATCAGCGTAGACGGTGCTGTTACGATCTATAAGGTTTTCCGTGACTGGAAAGAAGAGCTCTAGAACGTTCTTCCTAGTCTGCCTTACTGGGGAAGCTCCACGGAAACCTGTTCAGCATCATCAATTGCTCAGGCCCAGGAGGAGACCTGGACTCATCTGGAAGAACAAATCTGAAGAGCCACCTGCTCTCCTTTAAGTGTCGTGTTATCCAACTCACGTGGGGCTTAAAGAAATGAAAACACATCCACAATTACAGTGATGATCTGGAAAGTGTGAGGGTGAGAGGCGATGTCTGACCCGCCAACCTGATTTCAGGAACTTTGCTCTATTATCAACAACAACAAGAACCCACTGCCATCAAGTCAGTTCTGACTCAGAGCAACCCCCATTGAGTTTCTAAGGCAGCAAATCTTTATGGAAGTAGATTGCTCCATCTTCCTTCCTTGGAGTGGCTGGTGGGTTTGAACTGCCAGCCCTCTGGATAGCAGCCAGATACCTTAGGCGTTGCACCACCAGAGCTCCTCCTTTCTTTCCCACAGCTGTCCTGGTAAGAAGGTTTAATGTTGTTGTTAGGTGCAATTGAGTCATTGCCGACTTACAGTGACCCTGTGTACAGCAGAATGAAACACTGCCCAGTCCTGGGCCAGCCCCACAATCTTTGCTATATCTAAGCCCATCATAGGCTTATTAATCACCCCTATTTGATAAATGAGGAAAGTGAGACCCAGAGAGACTGGGCAGTTTCAGGATTTTCCAGCTAGTCAGTGAACTTAAGAGTTTTTTTTTTTTTTTTTTTTAATACAGCCACCCTGTTAGTAGGCAAGTGGGTATAATCTGCAGGCTCTTGGTCGTCCCAGATGAGTGTAGTCAGGAACCCTAGCACTTAGAAAACCATAGAAAACAGAATGTGGCCTCAGAGTGCAGTCCACTCTCCAAGGTTCCATCGCTCGTTTGGCCTTGACATGCAGATTATGGCACGGCAGATGGACATCATGCTTCTGTTTCCTGCTGCCTTGGCTGATCTGGTTTCCTCAACTTGACCCGGGGTAGCTGCATGCCCTACTTGCATCCTGACTCTAGTCTTGCATCCGCATCACCCTCGGGATCTCAAGATCTTGCTACTGATCCTGGGTGTGGGGCTCAGCAGGAAGGGCAGGGTTGAGCTCCTCTCTGGATTGCAAAAAAAACACAACCATGGCGGTGAAGTCGGATCCGACCCATAGCAACCCCTCCTCAGGTTTCTGAGGCAGTATCACTACGGAAGTAGATTATCCAACATTTCTGCCAGGGAGTAGCTGGTGGGTTTAAACCACCAGCCTTCTGGTTATCAGTCAAGTGCCTTAGGCACTGCGCTACCAGAGCTCCCTTCCTCTCTGGATTAGGGAGGTGCTATTGATTTGATATCTCAGCCAGGGATTTAACTGATCCCCCAGCTGGAAAAATATTCCTCCCTCAAATAGCTGTTTTATCTTTCAGCCCCTGCTACCACTTTCATTATACTAAGTCCCCACCAGATGCCTCAAACAAGAGAGAATTTAAAAGGAAAAAAAAGGAAAAGCCAGGAACCGAGAGATCTGAGCTTCTGTCCCAGCCGTTTGGGATACGGTCTCATATTATCACACTCTGAACCGTCAGCTTTTGCCTGGGGATTACAGGGAGTCCCCTGGGACCACTTGAGAGGAGCGATGACACGTGGGGAAGCTCGGGCTTCTCAGTGGTCAGGAAACCTAGATTTGATGGGGGTCATTCATCTCCTAGTCCATTTCCTTTCTTAGGTCATCAGTCCCTGTGCAGAATGGTGCCCTGGGATCAGCTCGGGGCTTTGCAAGGTTGAGAAGCCTCTCAGGGTGAACGGTCTTGTTGTCACTTTTTTTTTTTTTTTAAGTAGAAACTTGACTTTAGTAAACTTGAAGGCTAGAAAACCAGAAGTTACCTCACCATACTAATACATGATTTTTTAAAAGTTTAAATGTAAAGTTTATCATAGCCATTTCTCCAGATAAGCTAAGAGAGGTCAAGTGACTTGTCCAACGTCACACAGCTAGAAAGGGGTGAAGCTGGGTTGACTCCAACTCTACTCCAGAACCTTCGCTCTTAGCCAGTGTTTGCTCCTGTAAAGTGGGCTCGATTGGTTATTTTCAATTTCTCTTTTTCCTGTGATGGGAATCCTTGCTGCATATGAACTCTTACATGAAATTCCAGAGGAAAAAACAGATCCAAGGGGCTCTGCTCAGGTTGAGGGAAGTCTGTAAATCTTTGTGCCAGTCCCATGGGTGGCTCCTGGGAGTGCACAGTGGAACTCCGGGACTGCCCAGGGCCCTGGAGGGAAGTCCCTGACTGAGCGCTGCAGAAGTGAGAATTGAGAGGCCGCCTGCAAGCCGGCGAGCCTCTGGCAGCTGGTCTGTGGGTCTGCGTAGGCTTGAAATCCTGAGATCGGAGGCCTGGGAGGACTTAGCGACGGAATCCGTGCTGTCTGGCTAACAGGGTGGTCAGGTGTGAAGCCCGTGACTGCCTCCGCTGCCCTTTGTGTGCACACACTTGTCCACACGGACAGACGGCAGGTGGCCCCTCACTTTCTCTCTGTGTAAACTCGCTCACAGACAAAGGCTTAGAAGCAGCAGGATTGCTGACCTTTATTTTTTGCTTCCTGTGTCCTGAGAACCACGTGTGGCTTCACACATACTGTCTTCATCTTGACGTCTCACCCACTGGGCCTAGGGCCTGCTTTTGTTGTTGTTCCCAGTGGAGTTCATTATTCAGAAAAGAATTTCACTTCCTGTTTGAAATGGAATTTTCATGCTAAGGTTAGAAAGTCAATGAAACTAGCTGTCTGGTGCCCATCAAAGGCATGGCACTGTGCTCGATGGTGGGGAGGGGACAAAGATGGAAGACACACTCTCCCCCATTCTTACTGACACGGTAATCGAGGGGGAGGGGTAAGTGATGCACTAGAATGTGTGGGACCTCGGTTGGTTTGTGCAAGGAGCTGTGGGTCACAGAGGAGAGGTGATGCCTTCTGCCTGAGGGGTTCATGTGTTTGTTCCTTCAGTCAGTCATTTCCTGTTTTTTTCCACAAGTGTTTACTGAGTGCCTGCTGTGCTCAGACCCTGTTCGGAGCTGGGAATATGAGGTAAACAGACCACTGCATCTAGGGGAGACACAGGCAGGCTGTGTCGTCCACCTGTGGCTGTGTAACAAATCGCCCCAGCCCTGGAGGCTTAACACAGTGGTGAGTGGTGACTTCCTCATCATGCCATGAGCTGAGCGGGGCTCAGCTGGACGATTCTTCCGCTTGTCTCCTGAGCTCAGTCACACAGCTGGGAGCTTGGCTGGGTGCTGCTTGTGCTTGGACTGTCCGCGCGGGCTCCCACCCCCCGGCCCACTTTCTCTGTGCCCATCCTGCTTGTGCTTGGACTGTCCGCGCGGGCTCCCACCCCCCGGCCCTCTTTCTCTGTGCCCGCTCCTGCTTGTGGTTGGACTGTCCGCGCGGGCTCCCACCCCCAGGCCCTCTTTCTCTGTGCCCGCTCATCGTTCATCGTTCCGTCATCTAGCTTGGACTCCCTCACAGTATGACGGCTGGGCTCTGGGAGAGCAGGTGAAAGTTGCCAGTCTTCTTATGACCTGGGCTCACTGTATGGACACTTGGAGGCCTGGGGGAGCAGGATCTATTCTCATATGGTGCAAACACAGGGGGTTTAAGGACAGGAGCAGGGATGGGCGGGAAATGAAGCTGGTGAGTTACACTGGGGCCGCGAAGGGGCTGTGAGTGCCCTGGCATTCAGACCCATCCTGGGAGCCACAGATTGCTCCCTGAGAGTTTTGGGCAAGGAAAAAGGTGATCAAGTCTTTTTTTTTTTTTTTTCCTTTTTCTTTGGAAGGAGACCACAGCACAGAAGTGCTCCTATAGTCAGGGGGGAAGTCAATGCTAATGCTTTGAACCAGGATTATCAAGCCCTGTGATAAAGCAGCTAAGTCAGTAGCCATGCATGGGAGCCAGGAATCAGGTGGGGAATTCATTAAATATAGATATTTGCTGATGAGTTAAGATGATTATAGAATCCAGTTCAGAGGATTAGAGGCACGAACAGCCTGTTGACTTGTGTCGCTTGGCTCCAAAAGTGCCTGCCAGAAAGACTCTGAGCAGTGAGGCCCTGTCAGCACAGATGGGAAGTGGTTAGCGTCAGCAGTATCTGTGCAGCCCAGTCTGGTACCAGCCTCTCGGGGAACTTTACACCCATCCATCCTTCCCTCCACCCATCCACATTCTTTGATCATCCATCCATTCGTCCTGCTACCCACCCATCTGTTCCTCACACATTCTATCCATCCTTTCATTATTCTGCCCAACATCTTTCTGTCCTTTCTTCCGCCCTTTCTTCCATTTGTCTGTCTTTCCATCTATCCATCCTACCATCCATGCATCTCTCCAGCTAATCATTCTTCCATCCATTTGGTCAACCTTCCACCCATCTATCCTTCCAATTATCGCTCCTCTGTCTTCCCACGTTTTCTTCCCTCTGTCCATTCTCACGTCCTGCAGTCCTTCCATCCACCATTTTCCATCCGTTTGTCTTCCACCTACCCATCCTTCAATTCACCCACGTGTTTATCCTTCCATGCTCCCTTTATTCTGTTCAGTCGTCTTCCCATCTACCCAT